GTTTATCCTATGTGGGAAGGGCAGGCACCACATCTTTGTTTTCATGGTGCTTTTTGACTGAAATGTTCTTTGCAAGCGCTGCATGTCCATCTTGAAGAATACAGTTGACCCTAAACAACATGAAGGTTAGGAACACAGCCCTGGCCCCCATCCCCACCCTGTGTGCAGTGGAAAATCTGCATGTAATTTCTTACTCTCCCACAACTACTAAGTAGCCCGCTGTTGACTGGAAGCCTTACCAATAACAAATAATCGATTAACACATATTTTGTACATTATATGTGTTATATACTGTATTCTTACAACAAAGGAAGCTAGAGAAAAGAAAATGTTAAGAAAACCATAAGGAAGAGAGAACAGACTTGTAGTACTGTATTTATCAAAGAAGTTCACATATAAGTGGACCTGCGTAGTCGATCCCAGGGTGTTCAAGGGTCAAATGTATATTGCTTGGTTCCATCCATGAAGGAGGGAAGCACATCCACTGACTTTAAAGGAATAGGTGGGTATTTGGGGTTTGGGTTTTCTTTCCTTTAAGGATTCCAGCTTTAAATCCATGTAGGTGTGTATGAATCTATCTATAACTGTTCAGCTCATGAAGAAAGTATCAAATATACTGGCCTTTTTTTTTTTTTTTAAAGGTTTTCTCTGGGGATCCCTGGGTGGCTCAGCAGTTTCGTGCCTGCCTTTGGGCCCAGGACACGATCCTGGGGTCCTGGGATGGAGTCCCGCGTCGGGCTCCCGGCATGGAGCCTGCTTCTCCCTCTGCCTGTGTCTCTGCCCCTCTCTCTCTGTCTATCATAAATAAATAAAAATCTTAAAAAAAAATAAAGGTTTTATTTATTTATTCATGAGAGACAGAGGAGAGAGAGGGAGGGAGAGAGAGGCAGAGACATAGGCAGAGGGAGAAGCAGGCCCCCCACAAGGAGCCCGATGTGGCACTTGATCCTGGATCCTGGGATCACACCCTGGGCCAAAGGCAGACGCTCAAACCACTGAGCCACCCAGGTATCCCTGCACTGGCTTTTAGAAAACAAACCCTGGGCACCTGGCTGTGACTCTTGAACTTGGGGTTGTGAGTTCCAGTCCTACCGTGGGCATACAGATTACCTTTTTTTTTAAGATTTTATTTAAATGAGAGAGAGCACTGCACAAGTGAGTGGGGAGAAGTAGAGGGAGGACAAGTAGACTCCGTGTTGAGCACTGAGCCCAATGTGGGGATTTGATCCTACAATCCCAGAACACAACCTGAGCCAAAAGAGTTGAAACCCAACCGACTGAGTCATTTAGGCTCTCCCATACAGATTACTTCTTAAAAGTCCTTATAAAGGTACAGAAAAATACATTCAAATTTGGTTCTCTTTTAAAAGATACTTATTTTTAAGATTTATTTACCTTTAGAGAGACAGAGTGAGCACGGGGAGGGGCAGAGAAGGAGAGAGAGAATCCCAATCAGACTCCCCACTGAGTGTGGAGCTGGAAGCAGGGCTTGATCCTGAGACCCTGGGACCATGGCCTGAGATGAAACCAAGAGTCATTTGCCCAACCAACTGAGCCACTCAGGTGCCCTGTAAGATTTTAAATAATCTTTCTATGCAGTATGGGGCTTGAACTCACAACCTTGAGTTACATGCTTTACTGACTGAGTGATCCAGGCACTTCTCAAATTTGGTTATTTTCCAAATAAGCACCTTTCTTTTCTGGTGTGGGAAAAGCTGGATACAGCTTTTTCATAGGGAAATTATCAGATTATGTGCTTTTGTGAATAGACCTATTTTTCCAGGGTGGGCACCCTGGTCTGAATGTTAGATGAGAGCCTATGGGGTCCCAGCCTATGTACCAGGGCCTTGTCTGTTTACCATGGGATTCACTTGGCATTTGCAGCTGGAGTGCCAGCCCTGCCGTCCTTGGAGGGGATGAGAGGCAGCCTGAAATGCTGGAGGAGCTTGAGGGATTATTAACGAGATTCCTTGGAGATTGTCTCATGGACTCCCCCTGGAATATGAGCTCCTCAAAGACAGGAATCAAGCCTGGGTTGGCTTTATGTTCCCCACGGGTGAGGCTCATAGTTGGTATGGTTGAATATGTTGGCACAGGGTATGTTAAGAAAATGCACATGCCTGGTCTTTGCTGGGGCCTTCGGTTGTATCCTTGCTCCCCAAGGACCCAACCCCAGAACTTCTCGGTGGATCTCTGTTAGGATCGTTGAAGGAGGGAGGCTTTGAAGTTGGTCTGTCACCCACCCTGGTGGCAGATTGAATAGAAGATTAAAATGTCTATTTACTGGTTATCTGAAAATGCTCTTCCACAAAAGAAGGCTCAGAGTTTGACAGAATTTTTGAGATTTTCAGGATCTGAAACCTATACTTTATGTCTGCCTATGGCTAAAAGTTACGTCTAATGACAATTTAGACTGTGTACTTAAATTAATATTTGACTTTTAAAAAAATATTTGACTTTTAAGAATTCAGAGATAAACAGACTAAATATTTTAATGATTACCTTCTAGCTCTGGAGGAGACAGTGGTATTGAGAACAGTGCACAGAGGCCTGAGGGGACTAATTGTCTAGGTGGCCAGTGCATAGGCAAAGGTGGCATGCAGTTCTTAGAGGGTGTAGGTGTGCCTCAGGTGGGCTCAGGCACAAGGCATTTCGGGGTGACCTTGCTTGCTATTGGCTGGGTTTGGAGGAAGGGCCAGAGCTAGGACAGCCAGGCTGATCCCAGTCAGTTGACCCGGGATGAGGGAATGGTGGGGGAGGTGTCAGGTCAGGAGGCAGCCCCAGTTGGGGGAATTAGAGTGTTGTCCAAAACCCAGTAGCTACCAATCATTTTTTGCCCTGTGAGGAAATTGAGGCTCAAAGATTAAGGGGTTTTCTAAGATTCCAAAGCAATGCATGGCCCTTACGGAATTCACCTGCCTCTGGATGGGGAACATGGGGGCCCTGGTCCTGGAGAGCTATGATAGATGAGAATGTGACTGACGGGGTGTTTGCCCTGTCCCAGCCTGAGTACATGGAAGGGCTATGTTTCAACTGATGGCCCAGACACTTCAAAGCCACAGCTGCAAGGTGCTCTCATGGGGGTCCTGGTGTAGCTGAGTCCCTGGAGTTATGGGGCCGCACAGGACAGTATTACTTACTAATGAATTGGCCACCTATAAAATCAGTTCCCGAGAGAGAGAGAGAGATGTGTGTGATGACTGTTTGGAAAGGATTTGATATCAGAAGATTAAGAAAGGCTCTTAGAAATTGATGAAGCCGGGGGAACCCTGGGTGGCGCAGCGGTTTGGCGCCTGCCTTTGGCCCAGGGCGCGATCCTGGAGACCCGGGATCGAATCCCACGTCGGGCTCCTGGTGCATGGAGCCTGCTTCTCCCTCTGCCTGTGTCTCTGCCTCTCTCTCTCTCTGTGTGTGTGTGTGTGTGTGTGTGTGACTATCATAAATAAAAAAAATTAAAAAAAAAAGAAATTGATGAAGCCAAAAAAAAAAAAAAAAAGAAAGAAATTGATGAAGCCCTTGAATCATTTGCAAAAATGACCTTTCTGATGGTCTTATTGAAAGTAAAACATAAAATGGGGATCCCTGGGTGGTGTAGCAGTTTGGCGCCTGCCTTTGGCCCAGGGCGCGATCCTGGAGACCCGGAATCGAATCCCACGTCGGGCTCCCAGTGCATGGAGCCTGCTTCTCCCTCTGCCTGTGTCTCTGCCTCTCTCTCCCTCTCTCTCTCTGAGACTATCATAAAATAAAAAAAAAAATAAATAAATTAAAAAAAAGTAAAACATAAAGCAAAAGGTTCAGGGTAGTTGGTCAGGAAAAGGTACACACAAAACCAAAGAACACTTGTTTCATTTTGTTGTTCTTTGGGGACAAATTAGAACATGGTTACAATTGCATGTTCTTAACCTACTTTTTTTTTTTCCAAGATTTTATTTATTTATTCATGAGAGACACGGGGGGGGGGGGCAGAAAGAGAAGCAGGCTCAATATAGGGAGCCCGACGTGGGACTAGATCCCAGGTCTCCAGGATCACGCCCAGGGCCGAAGGTGGTGCTAAGTCCCTGAGCCACCCAGGCTGCCTCTTAACCTACTTTTATTGAATGTAATATAAAAGACTTATCTTTCTCATTATAGTCTCCTTTTTTCAAGATAAAAACCCAGTCATATTTTTTTTTCTATCTACCCCCCTCAACCAAACCATTTACTATGAAATGATATTCTTTGTACAAATGGATTGATTGTAAAGTTACCAGCCTCTCCATGCCACCCTGGTCCCTATACCAGATATTCTTAGTTATTAACTAGGACTTGTTCTTATTTTATTTTATTTTATTATTTTTTAATTTGGCAAAAGGAACTTGATTAAGGAGATTTTAGTTGGTGGTTTGAGATTCTTCAGCAGCCCGGAAAAAGAGTCCCATGTCTTGTCTAATCATGCTCTGAGGTCTATTCTTACTGGTCTCTGAGAAACTTTCCCAAAGGAGTCCTGTCTTACTTGTTTATAGTTGCTGTTGAAATCGTGGCCATCAAGAGACTATAACTTTTTTATGGCATCCTAATGATTTTGAGATTTTATTTAATATGATTTTAAAATTTAATATTTATCAGTTAACCTGGTTCAGACCACAGGGTAGTGGAATACTTAATAGTATTATCTAATGCTTTAGAAAAACTCCACACAGTATCCAAGTTATAGAAGGGGCACCTTGTCTTTTTTGAGGAAATTGCAGCATAAAAGGATCACTTAATTCCCTGATCACCATAAAGAGGTCTTATTGACTGGAGAGAATGCTCAGGATTCAGCAAGGCAAGATGGGCCTGGCATTCAGGGTGCATGCAGCCTGGGAGCATGGTAGCTTTTAGAGACAGCTTTTGTCCGATCTTTTTTTCCCCTCTTGATATGCTTTATTTTTTCGAACAGTTTTAGATTTACAGAAATGCCTGCTCCATTATACGATGTGGTTTTAACTACTAAAAAGGATTTTTCCCCCTTCTTTCTGCAGACGTCGCCTCATCTCCCAGAGATCATCCTTGGAGACCCTGGAAGATATTGAGGAAAATGCCCCTCTACGGAGGTAAGTTTTTACTGTTGCACTTATGTGTATGTAAATAGCCTGCAGTGCAATATGACAGCCAAAGGTGGTGGCTGTTTTTTAAGTCCTTGATCTGCAGAATTAAATTGTTTCAAATGATGGCCTGATCCCTGGACCCATTGTTTGGAAACCCCAAGCCTGAGGACCGTGAGAGCAGAGCAGTATTAAACTTCAGTTTTGTGTTTGGAAAGCCCAATTTGCATGGTGGCTTTGGGTGCTGTCTTCCTTCCCAGTGTGAAAGCTGCTGCTTGTTGGAGACGAGCCAGCCCATCGTTGTCCCAGTTTTCTTAGGTGCAGTGACACAGTCGTCATGATCCTGAGTTGCATTAGCAGGTGCCCGCCACGTGACTCCATCACCGGTTGCTGGGGAGAGTCGACGAGGATAGCTGTGAGGGCCTCCCAGGAGCCGACAGGGATTTCTCCGTGGGGCCCAGAAAGCCACCTGTGTTTGGGTGACAGCAGCTGCGGAGCTGTGCCCGCCCTCATCCGCCGCCCCCCATCTGTGCCCACCCCCCCACCCCCCCGTACTCACACAGCACACCTCTGCCAGGCCTCGCGGTGGCTCAGCCGGGTTGGTGGCGGAGTGTTGCTTCTGCAGAAGGAACTGAGGCAGGGTGGGACCCAGACGCTTCACGGGGCATGCGCGGCGGCTTCACGGGGCATGCGCGGCGGCTTCACGGGGCATGCGCGGTGGGTGACGCAGAGGGAGCCCGGAACCCAGGTCTGCGCACCTTGTGCTTTGGCCGCTGGAGCGGACTCAGGAGCGCGGGTGCCTGGTTTGAGCCTGGGAGGGTGTTGCTGTGGACCGAAGCCTCTCACCCTGGAACCTGCCTGCCCCTTCCCCGGCTGGGGCTTCGCTCCCTGGTTAGTCCTGTCCGCAGACCAGCTGGATGGAAGATGCAGCGTAGACAGGTGATAGATCTGATCGAAAGTATTGGGTGGGGGATCCCTGGGTGGCCCAGCGGTTTAGCGTCGCTGTCAGCCCAGGGCGTGATCCTGGGGTCCCGGGATCGAGTCCCACATCAGTCTCCCTGCATGGAGCCTGCTTCTCCCTATCCCCGTGTCTCTGCCTCTCTCTCTCTCTCTCTCTATCATGAAATCTTTAAAAAAAAAAAAAAAATTGGGTGTATCAAGCCTCGCTGCTGATGTCTTTCCAAAGACAAAGTCAGCGCCAGTCTGTATTTCCACCTTTGAAGTCGTTTTTGGAAACGTACGTAATCTCTGGGACCAACTTCGGGCGAATGGCGTCTGGCTGTAATGTAGCTTGGGTGTTGGGAGAGGGCTGTTTCCTTAGATAGGCTTACAAAAAGCAGAGCAAAATGTCCACTTAGCTGCCTCTGGCCCAGAATCATCCTGAGAAGGGAGGAAAAACGAAACACGTTCTCAGGTGGCACTGAGCGGCTTTGGCATCGGAGCAGGTAAGGTCACCCTTGCCACAAATGGGGAAATCAGTGACTAGAACTCAAAGAGCTTCTGGTATTTGAGATGCCTCAGTTAAGGCAGTGCGGTAGCTGCGAGTCAAGGAAGAAAAACAGGTAAAAGAATGTCATTCTGTCCTCAGGGATTCCAGGTGGTTACAGAGAAAGGGCGAGGAGCTACGTGCAGGGTTTCTGATCGCCTGCGGCCTCGTCACCTCTGTCCTCTCCTCCCAGAATCCACCCAGGCTGGTCCTCTGACCTCTACCCCACTTGTGGTAGGATACCACAAATGAGCACAGTAAAAAGGGCTTCAGCCACTGCTGAGCTACTACTTATCCAGCTCTTACTTACAGAACAATATACTTAATTTCCAAGAAATCTTGTATAAATGTAAAATTTTAAAAACAAGTCTGAAACCAAGGAAATTAAGCCAATTTGGCCAGTTTGAGAAGGCTTTATTTTCCCTAATAGACTTTTTTTTTTTTTTTTTTAAAGATTATTTATTTATCCATGAGAGACAGAGAGGGACAGAGACACCGGCAGAGGGAGAAGCAGGCTCCACGCAGGGAGCCCGATGTGGGACTCAATCCTGGGACTCCAGGATCACGCCCTGGGCGGAAGGCAGGCGCTAAACCGCTGAGCCACCCAGGCTGCCCTAGACTTTGTTTTTAATTTAGAAAAAGTTCTAATATTTATTTAGGCAGAGCACTGGGTACTTTGCAGAATTGTTAAATGACTGTATTGTACACCTAAAACTAATAAAAGGCTGCATGGAGCTATCCTAGAATTAAAAATAACAGCTAATTAAGACATGTACTTATTCCTAGGAAATAAAAGTAGCATGGGCACACCAGAACAGATATTCATTTGGGAGTCTAGGGGCCTGAATCCTTGGCTTGGTTCTTTTACTAACTGGTTACATGGCCTTAGACATTTTATGTAGCTTCTCATTTTTCCCCATCTGTAAAATGGGAGAGCAAGCTGTGACTGCCCTCTGAGGTCTTTTCCAGCTCCCAATTTTGTGAAATGAATGTACCAGTGATGACACTGAAGTGTTTTGGGAACTGTGGGGGCGGAAGGGTATTAGCCCAACTTGCTTTTAAACTCAGCACGGTGACTAAATGGCTGCAAGGCATCTATTAAAAACCTTTTGCATAATTAAGTGTATCCTGTAATCAGTGCTAACAAGAAAGAGCTAATCTTTCATTAAATTAGTTTTTAATTTAATTCTATCCTAATTTAATTTTGCAGCACTTAAGATGTATGTTTTTAAATGGATACTGAAATTAGTTCTTTGCTTAACCTGCCACAAGCTGAGTGCTCAGTCTTCCAGTTTCCTTGGCAATTGTTGCTAATGCCACAGTTCTCTTTTAAAACATTTCTTAGATTCCCTGGTGGTTTAGTTGAAAGCTTTAAAAAATGCAGGACAACAAACAACTGTCTGAAGGAGGGGCTAGATTAGTAGCATATGCCCTTACAATTGGGTGCTGCTCCATTCTTTTTTAAAGTCTCGCCTTTTTCCTGCATCTCAGTTTACTGGTGAGTTAGTGTCCTGCACCTACCTACCTACTACAACTCCTGGAGTTAAGCATTCATAATGAGAGGCTTTAGATTAAGGAGTTTTCCACCTGCCTGGTGGTTATCGGGTATCCTAATATTAAGGACCTGAGAGACATTGCTACGAGGTGTCCAGAAGAACCTCGGTTTGGTGGTGGCAAATGTGCCAGCCATCTCCACCTGCCCCTCTTTTCCAGCCTGTCCGAGTTGGTGGGTGCTGGCTGCTGCACCATTCAGTGATTACTGGCTCCTCTTCCTTTCCATGTGAGTGCCAACAACCACCTGTGGCCCTTTTGCAGCCTTCCAGTTGTAGCAGAAGGCCAGGGAATTTTGTGCTCACACCCGAAGGGTAACAGCTCTTCTTTTTGCAGGCATGGGAAGCAGAGAGCAGCTCAGGTCTTCCCTTTTCTGGGCTGGGATCGGTACCAGCTTCCTGCTAGTGGGGGCAGGCATACCTACCCTCTATCCTCATAGTCCAGTTCTTGGCCCACTAGCTCAGGAAACTACTGTTTGGGGGGAAACAGGGTAAGAGTATGAGGACACTTCTGGACACTTGGCCCTATCCAGAAACCAGTGGAAGCATAGCCTTAAATCAGAGATTCTCTTCTCTCCAGTGGCTGCATGTGTCTAGAACCTTCTGCAGTGTGTCTGAGAAACATTTGGGGACCTTGGGTGGCCTGCAGACTCCAGTCATTTTGGAGGTAGAACTGCGGCAGTTTGGGGTCTTGGATCTGCTTCCAGAGAGCTACCCAAAGAAGGCAGAGTGAGGCTCCCATCCCCTTGAACCTCAGTAAGACTAAATCTGGGTTTGGAAGCTTGGAGTGGAAAGGGGGATTGATGGGTGCCTTCTGCTCAAATCCTGCCTGAAGGCCACAGGAAACATTGACTAAATACAAGTCTTTCTTTAAAAGACTCTAAAACCAAGAATTCAGGCTCCTTAGTGACAGTTAAAATTTTAAGAAGATAGGAAGCAAATAGTAACAAAATCTGCATGCATTGTAGCTGATGGGCCGTTAATAATCACAACAGTGAGATTTGTATACAAATATTTACATGTGTATATACCTGTGTGAATGTGAATGCTTGTATTTGATTGTGTCACTTGACAGTTTATGAATTTCTTGTGTATATCATTAAGTTTAATCCTGATAGCAACACTAGGAGGGATCTGAAATAATTACTAGTGATAAGTCGGGGTATCAGTTGTAGTGAGTTTGAGGCTGGAGGCAGGGAGGATGGTGGTTTCTGCTGAAGTGTCTTTCAGGGCCATGTGGGTCCGTGGACCCTGCCCTGATGTGGTGGACCTGACTTGAAGTGGGGGGCTTTCTTTCCCTCCTCTAGACCCAAGGACTGGGGAACCCTGTTTTCCTGATGAAAGCTGCGAAATGTTTGCTACTATGTCTTTGATTTAGCCTGTGCTCAATTGAATTCAGTAAGGGTTTTTTTTTTTCCAGCTGGGGGGAAAAAAAATCATTCTCAGCACTCTTAGGGAATGGCTTTTGGGAAGACTGGTCCTTACTGGGGAGGAGTACGGGGGTTTGAAGGGATGTACCACCTGACATCTGTGCCAGGGACATCACCTGGTTTCCCTCAAGCTGGGCCCTTGGAGTTGCTGTGCAGGCCTGTGACCTTGCCCATTCCCTAGTCCTGAACCCAAACATGCTCCCAAGCCCACTTGCCCTCAACTGGACCTCCTTGTTGGGTCATCTTGTTAGTCTTCCCTGAAGCCTCCAAGTTCAGAACTGACTGAATTTGGGTGGTGGCTCCAGCCCAGAGCTCAGTATAGCAGGCACTGCTGCTCCAAAACTCACTCTTTGAAGCCTAAGAGTACGAAGGTACCCACGCCCCATGGCAGGAGCCAGCCCTTGGGGCCAATGGTCAGAAAAGTTTAAGTAGACCAAAAAATTGGTAGCAAAAACCCAAATAGAAACATCCCAGCTCTCTTTCTCAAGACAAGACCAAACTTCAGACTCTTATTTGTTGATTTGTTTTCTTGCCCTTTTTCTTATTCTTGCGGTTGTAAAACTTTAGAATTTGCCAGGTAACTTTGGGGAAAAAAAAAAAAGAGAGACAAACAAGATCTTTTTAGCCTTATGGTTAATTCTGTTTACCCTGTAGTACAAGTGGTGTCCTATATTCCAGGAAAAAAAAATAATTTGAATCCAAGTCATTTTGTTCGACAAATATTCACTTAAAAATACATCTTGGGGGGACAAAAAGAAAGAGAACAGCCGCTCCTTCAAAGTAAAGCCGTGACTTCCAGGCGTAGTCAAGTTAAGCATTGACGCAGCTGTCCAAGTTGTTCAGGCCAGAGTCCTGCTATGGAAGAAAAATGATTTGGCATTGCTCTTAAACTGAATTTTCCAGTGTTTTTCTTCCCTCTGTAAATTCTTTAAATTTACAGTTTTCTGTTCCCGTTACTGGTGTTGATACAGGAGGATTCTTTTTAAGATGACAAGAAAGAATAATGTCTTTGGAATCCATGCAGGTTCTGTTATTGTAACTGAGGACAATAGTTTTCATTAGCTGGCTTTCCAGAGACCCATATAAATGATTATCAGGATTATCAAGGAAGTTGTCTTTCGTTGGAGGTTTTTTTTTTTTTTAAAGCTTCCTTGCTTCCAGCCGTATTGTCCTCATTATCCTCGGGGTGATTCAAACCATTTGTCTGGTCTTCCTTCCTGTCTTTGTGTGGAGATGTCTCAGCTGTCTTGTGGGCAACTGACCCATGTTTTTGAAATGACTTTATTTTTCAGATGTCGAACTCTCTCAGGTTCACCCAGACCAAAGAACTTTAAGAAGATTCATTTTATCAAGAACATGCGGCAGCACGATACCAGGAATGGCAGGTACTACACTATCTGAAGCCTCCCCACCAGCCTCCCTGCTGTAGGAGGGGGGTGGTCCAGTGAGGATGGGAGGATGGGGCTGTTTGTGTGGCCAGATCTCTGCACAGCAAAGCCCACGCTGTTCAGATGAACAGGACCTCATATAACCTTTCCAAACAGATTGTTTCCACCCCACTCCCACTAGCACCATCCAGAGAAGTCTACAGAAAATAATGCTCCCTGATAGCGACCAAAGGCTTGGTGAGATTTTCAGGCTAAGTACAAATGGAATATTTAATAGCACTCAAATATATTTTTATAGAAAACCAAGCAAAAGTGCATTTTAAAAAAATTGTCTGCTTTGTTGGGTTTTATCTTCTTTTTTTTTTTTTTCACTAGGGCTATATGCTCTGGTCAGTAAAGATCCCACCAGGTCTGTGCTCACACTTGGCTTTGTTGCTAGCTTTGACGACCCGGCAGGTTCTTTTTGGGCACCGATTCAGAATCCTGGGCCTGCTGACAGCTGGAGCACGTATTTCTCCAGCTCTTCCATTGCTTTTTTGGAAAATGCTATTCAATGAAAATTAGTGTAACTGAAATTTATATAACCATGATAATAAAACTGGCAACAAATAGATCAGGGTTGTTTGGCACGCATACATTTGTCCAAAGGGCTAAGTCTGTTCATGGCAACCTCATGGCAGCACAGGAACAGAGCTCCAAGACCTCTTGGTCCCTGGTGCTCTGTACCCGTTGCTCCTCCCCACTGACCTGTGACCTGCAGGGTGGTTTCCCCATGATGCCACCCTGGAGCAGAGGTCCTGTGACAAAGATCATTTTGTTTTATTCCCTCCAGATGCACAGAAAACTCTATAGACCCTACTAACAATCTCTGTTCCATACCAAATGAAGATTGCCAAAAAGTGTTTTTTTGTATGTTTGTTTTAAAGATTTTATTTATTCATGAGAGAGACAGAGACACAGGCAGAGGGACGAGCAGGCTCCATGCAGGGAGCCTGACATGGGACTCCTGGCTCCCCAGGATCATGCCCTGGGCTGAAGGCGGCGCTGAACCACTGAGCCACCCAGGCTGCCCTGCCAGAAAGTCTTGATTTAGGTGCACAGACTAAGGCCCAGAGTACCTATCTGTAATTTGGTAGGAAATACACTGTACAACCCTAAAGATAACACTAATGATTACAGTTTTTGAGGACTTGTTTTCTTGAAGTTAATGCCTATTTTTTAAACTGACTTAAACAGGGAACATAATTTTATAGCTGTTCAGTGGTTTCAGAATAGGAGAACCGAGCTCCCTCATCAACCAGTGTTTATGTAGTTGGTGTATATTCCTAAATACAGAGCTTTTAGTTAAAATGTACCCAGCTGTTGTCTGTTAAAGAGAATATTCTGAATTTCTCTCACTTAATCTTACTCTCACAGTTATTGTGCCTTATTCCCTTAGCCATCCTGTTTTATTTTTCTTTTGAGGCTCATACTGAACTTAACCTTCACTCAGAAGCCATTTTTAGTATAATTACTCATCGTTTATTTACATTTGTGTCCTTTTAATCTCCTTAACCATAAAATAAACCTAGATAGCCTTTAATACCTAAATCAAATCAAGACAAAGCCGGAGGAATGGGCCAGACTAGTAGCATTCCCCACCTCTAGTGGTACTGATGCTGTGGAGGATGCAGAGGCAGCTAACTACCTGGCCTGGTGTGGTAGTGAGAGGATGTAGCTAATAAAACATTTGGGCTAATGGGATTGCCAGCATACAGGACAGAGTCCGCCTTCCCGGCACACCCTTGACCCAGGGACAACACAAACAATCCTGAAAGCATGCAGTTGCTAGCAGTTTTGCTGGGGAATTTTCAGAGGGAGCCAGGAAGGATTATTAGCTTATCTGAAGATCTGAGAATTGGAATTTAGGGCAGGAAAGCAAGCTAAGAGCTGTTGTGGGAACCACAGGCTGTGGGTTGTGCCACAGCCAGTTGTGTCTGCCCCAGTGAGAGCTGCTTCTCCTGTGCCAGAGGAAAAATAAAAGGGCTGGAGGTACTCTCCCTTCTTCCTCTGGGTTAGTAGCAAGGATGGGTTGTCCTTAGGTAGATGAAAAGAAAGAACTTGAGAGGACACCAGGAAGAAAATATGGTTTCTGAGGCAACAGAAGGAAATTGTGGTCAAGAGCTGATGAATGGGAGGATGTGATCTAGCCTTTTGAGAAAAGAAAGAATTGGCCCCATCATAGCCAGGCAGCATTAGGTTGTCCTGACAGAGGGACATGTGGATGAGCTCTAGTCCAGCAGTGGTGGGGAGGAGGGATCTTGGTCATGCTCGGAAGGGAGGGTGGCTGGTGCATCGGCAGGGGTGTCCAATTCTCCCACCTGTGGTGTACCGAGGTGTATGTGTACCACTGTACCAGATGGTGCATTCTTGTGGCGAGGATCGAACTCAGGTTTGCCTGCGTGCTGGGAAGGAAGGAGACTTTACAGAGAAGGCTGGAGATGTTCATTGAAGAGCTTGAAAGTCTGTACTGAAAGTGGAATGGTTGGAGTACTGATATCCTGCCTTTTCTTGTACCTGGGGAAGGGGACCGAGAAGGGGCCGGAAGAGTCCCCCAGGCCCAGTCCCACAGTGGCTCCCACTCATGGCTATGCCAGCTTCCAAGTGTCCTTGTGATCTGTGACTAGCACACACCAGGCTCTCAAGACTGCAGGCCCACCCTGGGGCCCACTTGCTGCTCTGGAACTGAAGACCTCAGTGTTGAGGCAGCTCCATGCCCAAGCCTGCTGACTGAGTGACAGAAGCACCACCGTAGAAGGGGATTTGGGCTCCAGGCTCAGCGAGAACTAAGTGCAGCTGACACCAGGACAGGGGAGCACCTGTTCTGGGACTCAGTGCCCAACCTGTGAGTATGAGAAACAGTTTAAAATAAGAAGGAGAAAACTCCTAAAAACTGAGAACCAAATATGGTAGAAAGACAACACTTGCATCAAATTCAAGTGGACATAACAATCAGGAATCTCAGGGTAACTGCTTAGAAACAAACATTGGGGTCTTGGGCAGCTTCATGTTCTCCCACTTCTCTCTGTGACGTTAGACGAATCTCAACTACCGTGAAGTAGAGATGAGTACCTTCCATAAAAGGTGTGGTTCTGTTGGAGAATGGAATCTACTTGAAGGAAAACCTGTCTTCACCTTCTTCAAAATCAGTGAATTCTGTGTGATTGGTCTTGAGGACCTGCCGGAAGGCTTTGGGTGTAGATAAAGTACAGAACACCAAGCTCAGGGTGTTTTGGGGTCATGTTGCAGACCCTTGAGCCAGTTGGGGGTAAAAGAAGTTTACAGCCTGGACACAGGTTACAGATCCAGTGATGGAAGCTTCCACTACACTGTTGGGACCAGATGGGCATCATGTGTTCTTTTTTTTTTCTTAAGATTCTAGTTATTTATTCATGAGAGGCACAGAGAGAAGCAGAGACATAGGCAGAGGGAGAAGCAGGCTCCCTGCAAGGACTCTGATGTAGGACTCGATCCCGGGCTCTGGGATCATGCCCTGAGCCAAAGGCAGATGCTCCGCTGAGCCACCCAGGTGTCCTGGCCAGGTGTTCTTGACCAGCCCTGAGTAGTGCTTCATCTCCTCACAGGTTGGGGAAGTGGTGAGGGGTGCTGCAGTGCTCTGGTCCCACTTCTGTTGTAACAAAGACAGGTAGGTGATGGGGAAGTTATGTTGGACTTGATGGTTGTGAAAGGAAGCAGTGCTTGGCTGGGTTTTAGGAAGACATCTCAAAACGTCAGACTACAAAATGGATTCTTGTGGCTGCAACCACATTGGCAAAGGGGATTATAAAATATAAGTATCATAACGTGATAATGGATAACATGTATTGAGTACTTACTGGGTACTGGGTTCTAAATACTTTATATGCTTTGTTTCATTAACTCCACTCAGTGGGTATTTGTTGAGTAAATGAGTGGGGAGATCTTTTAAATGATTTCTGGTCTTCAGAACTATGTATCTTGAGGAATGGAAAAAATTTAGAAACAACCTTGTGAGGAATGTTTTGCTGTTGTTGTGGTAGGTAGAATGACGCCCCCGAGAGATGTGCACGTCATATCCCTTGGACCTGTGAATATGTTGGTTCCGTGGCAAGGGGGAGTTGAGGTTGCTGACCAGTTGGCCTTGGAGTAGCAGGATTATACTGGATTATCTGGGTTTGCCCAGGTAATCACCAGGATTCTTACAGTTGTAAGGGGAGGCAGAACAGTCAGTGTCACTGTGATACAACAAGAGAAAGACTCCACTCCATGCTGACTTTGAAGGTGGGGAAAGGGGCTGTGAGCCAAAGAATATGATGGCCCCTAGAAGCTAGAAAGGGCAAGAAAACAGACACTTTATTCAAGCCTTCAGTGGGAACTGGCTCTAACCCCTTGATGTTAGCCCCATGAGACCCATTTCAGAGTTCTGACCACCACAGTTATAAGATAATAACTCTGTTGTTTTAAGCCATGGACTGTGGTAATTTGTTACCGCAGCCATAAGAAATGAAAACACTCATCATCCCAATTTACAAAGGAGGAAGCTGGGGCACATGGCTGGAAAGCAGGGGGTGGAATCCAGATCCAGGCATCAGATTCAAGAGCTCGTTCTCATAATCAAAAAGGAAGGTGGGTGGTAAAAATCCAAATATCCTAAGACAGCATATCATGGTAGGTTTTGAGAAAACCATTGAATTCTGATTTTAAAATCCATTAGACAAAGGGCAGAGACTAATAAAAGAATGGTTTAAGTAAACCTATAAAAATAGTTTGAGGAGCTCTAAAATCCAGTGTGAAGTAAAGAGTGAAGAGAAAGAAAAATTGACACCCTCATACGTGGCTGTGGGAATATAAAATGGTACAGCCATTACGGAAAACAGTTTGGCAGTTCCTCACAAAGTTAAATATAAAATTATCCTGTGACCTGCAATTCCATTATTAGTTATATACCTAAAATAATTGAAAAGAGGAATTCAAACAGA